TTTTCCAAGGATCTGTATCCCTCTGCTCCCTGCCCATTCCGGTATCTGTCTGGATACATCTTAAATGATGCTATCGTGCCCGCCTCTACCACCTCCACTGGCAACGCGTTCCAGGCACCCACGACCCTCTGCGTAAAGAACTTTCCACGCATATCTCCCTTAAACTTTTCCCCTCTCACCTTGAAATCGTGACCCCTAGTAATTGAGTCCCCCACTCTGGGGGAAAAAGCTTCTTGCTATCCACCCTGTCTATACCTCTCATGATTTTGTAGACCTCAGTCAGGTCCCCCCTCAACCTCTGTCTTTCTAATGTAAATAATCCTAATCTACCCAACCTCTCTTCATAGCTAGAGCCCTCCATACCAGGCAATATCCTGGTGAACCTCCTCTGCACCCTCTCCAAAGCATCCACATCCTTTTGGTAATGTGGCGACCAGAACTGTACGCATTATTCCAAATGTGGTTGAACCAAAGTCCTGTACAACTGTAACATGACCTGCCAACTCTTGTACTCAATACCCCGTCCGATGAATGAAAGCATGCCGTATGCCTTCTTGACCACTCTATCGACCTGCGTTGCCACCTTCAGCGTACAATGGACCTGAACACCCAGATCTCTCTGTGCATCAATTTTCCCTAGGGCTTTTCCATTTACCGTATAGTTCGCACTTGAATTGGATCTTCCAAAATGCATCACCTCGCATTTGTCTGGATTGAACTCCATCTGCCATTTCTTCGCCCAACTCTCCAATCTGTCTATATTCTGCTGCATTCTCCGACAGTCCCCTTCACTATCTGCTCCTCCATCAATCTTAGTGTCATCTGCAAACTTGCTAATCAGACCATCTATACCTTCGTCCAGATCATTTATGTATATCACAAACAACAGTGGTCCTAACACGGATCCCTGTGGAACACCACTGGTCATAGCTCTCCATTTTGAGAAACTCCCTTCCACCACCACTCTCTGTCTCCTGTTGCCCAGACAGTTCTCTATCCATCTAGCTAGTACACCCTGGACCCCATGCGACTTCACTTTCTCCTTCAGCCTACCATGGGGAACCTTATCAAATGCCTTACTGAAGTCCATGTATATGACATCTACAGCCCTTCCCTCATCTATCAACTTTGTCACTTTCTCAAAGAATTCTATCAAGTTGGTAAGACATGACCTTCCCTGCACAAAACCATGCTGCCAATCACTAATAAGCCCATTTTCTTCCAAATGTAAATAGATCCTATCCCTCAGTATCTTCTCCAGCAGCTTCCCCAACACTGACATCGGGCTCACCGGTCTATAATTACCTGTATTATCCTTGCTACCCTTCTTAAACAAGGGGACAACATTAGCAATTCTCCAGGCCTCCAGGACCTCACCCGTGCTCAAGGATGCTGCAAAGATATCTGTTAAGGCCCCAGCTATTTCCTCTCTCGCTTCTCTCAGTAACCTGGGATAGATCCCATCCAGACCTGGGGACTTGGCCACCCTAATGCCTTTTCGAATACCCAACACTTCCCCCCTCCTTATGCTGACTTGACCTAGAGTAATCAAATATTTATCCCTAACCTCAACATCCTCAGCATGTCCCTCTCCTCAGTGAATACCGACGCAAAGTACTCATTAAGAATCTCACTCATTTTCTCTGACTCCTCACATAACTTCTCTCCTTTGTCCTTGAGTGGGCCAACCCTTCTTCTAGTTACCCTCTTGCTCCTTATGTTAGAATATAAGGCTTTGGGATCTTCCTTAACCCTGTTTGCATAAGATATTTCATGATCCCTTTTAGCCCTCTTAATTTCTCATTTCAGATTGGTCCTACTTTCCCGATATTCTTCCAAAGCTTCGGCTGTTTTCAGTCGCCTATACCATATGTATGCTTCTTTTTTCCTCTTTGCTAGTCTCACAATTTCACCTGTCATCCATGGTTCCCTAATCCTGCCCTTTCTATCCCTCATTTTCACAGGGACATATCTGTCCTGCACTCTAATCAACCTCTCTTTAAAAGCCTCCCACATATCAAATGTGGATTTACCCTCAAACAGCTGCTCCCAATCCACATTCCCCAGCTCCTGCTGAATTTTGCTATAGTTGGCCTTCCCCCAATTTAGCACTCTTCCTTTAGGACCACTCTCGTCTTTGTCCATGAGTATTACGGAATTGTGGTCACTATTCCCAACGTAATCCCCTACTGAAACTTCCGCCACCTGGCTGGACTCATTCCCCAAGACCAGGTCCAGTGTGGCCCCTTCCCAAATTGGACTATTTACATACTGCTCTATAAAACCCTCCTGGTTGTTCCTTACAAATTCTGCTCCATCTAAACCCCTAACACTAAGTGAATCCTAGTCAATGTTGGGAAAATTAAAATCTCCCATCACCACCACCCTGTTGCTCCTACATCTTTCCATAATCTGTCTACATATTTGTACCTGTATCTCACGCTCACTGTTGGGAGGCCTGTAGTGCAGCCCCAACATTGTTCCAGCACCCTTCTTATTTCTGAGCTCTGCCCATATTGCCTCACTGCTTGAGTCCTCCATAGTGCCCTCCTTCAGCATAGCTGAACTATATCAGTTCACTCACCTTCCCAGAGCGCAATTCGACTGCTCCCATTCAGCTCCGCTGCCGAAATGAAGAACTTACTTTCCTGGCAACCCCCTGGTCCTTGCTCTCACCGCTCCCGCTGCTGCTGCAAAAATGGAGGCCGCTGATTCCACGTGGTAATTATTTAAATGGGAGACTTAGCTTCTCGGCAGCCCCTTGGTCCTCGCTGTCACTGCTCCAGCTTCTGCTGCAAAAATGGAGGTCTGCTCAATGTTAGTGTCAGAGGTGATAGCTTTAATTATGAAATCACGTGGCAGTGTGCCTTAATTATGCTGTTCCCAGTTTTCAAGAAGTACCTGGAAAAATACATGAGTAGGAAGGGAATTGAGGGATACAGATCCTGTAAGTGAAGATAGTTTTATTACAGAAGGGCAAAATGTGTCAGCGCAGGCATAGAGGGCTGAAGGGCCTGTGCCATATTGTTCTTTGTTCTTCGTCCACTATCTAGCCAGATTCAACTTAGAACATATCCAAAGAATCAGGCAGAAGGTTAAAGTTTTGGTGAGTAGAGGGAAAAAGCAAGGGGTGTGTTCTTTCATCAGCTGCACCTTCCAAATTTGAAGAGATTATTTGGGGAGGAAGATGATTAGGTATGAGGTATTAGGAATTTCCCCCATTCAGGCAAATGTCTCTGGATTCAAGTGAGTTCCTGCTATCTTCAGTTGTGCTCAACCATTTCTGATTAGAAAGGGAAATATTTCAGTGAGTTGTTCTGTAGGGCATTTGGGTTATATGTTTGAATGGCTGGCAAGATCTGAAATATGGATGTCAGGCGTGTGGTAGTGTTAAGTGCATGAAGGTGAGATGAAACATAAGGCTGGTGTATACAAGCTCTGATTGATAGACGGTATAGAGATGTGGTAACTGTGGCTAGTGAGTCATTCCTTGATGAAATACTGCATTTGACAATGCATTAACTATCCTTGACCGCTCCTGTGAAGTCACTGAACTTCTTACAGCATTGCATTTAGGTCCTTGGGTCCAAGGCGTTCACCTTCACATCAGCCTGTTTCCATAATTTTCTCTGTATTTGTTTGGAGACTGCCTTGAGTCTCTTGCAGGAATAGGATGGCACTTGTTGTTTCCAACTCCAGTGCAACATCGGAAAACTTGGATATGCATTCTTCCTTTGTCAGCCATTCTTCTTATCTTTCCCAGGTGAGATCCAAAACAGCCATGTTTTCCAGGGGAGTTCCAGGTCAGCCAGGATTCCCAGCATCTGGTCTAGTCATAATGCACCATCCCTTTAAGCAGTACAGCTTTAAGCGGTACAAGCAAGTATTGATTTTACATTCCATGCCGTTACATGCTGCAAATCAACAGCACTGCTATACTGTTGCATGAGAGATCATTCAAATGAGCAGGCAACGCAAAGATAGATGCATGCTCCCTGCATTACATTGAAGAGGGGCAACTTAGTCACAGAATATAATCCTTGCATATGTTTTAAAGGGAATCTTTTTCTTATATACTCTGCTTTGTAAATCAACTGACCTTTCCAACAACTAGAAATAGGAAGAAGCATTATCTCCAACAGATGACACACTCTCATCATTTTATTGCTGAGGTTGATCTCCACCCGTATCAGTGTTCCATTTAAGGACTAAAATCAGGAAAATCGTAGAGCACTATGTCATCAAACACATAAAGGTAATAGTTGCCATAGTCCCAGAGGAGTGACAGAGTTGGCTGGTGTTGGTTTATCGTGAGCGTTACCACATCTCATGTGAGACTGAGAAGGCAGGACCTTCTATCATAACCTCAGCCAGTGTGGGAATTGAATCTGCACTGTTGGTGTCACTCTGCAAAGCAAACCAGCTGTCCAGCCAACTGAGCTAACCAATCCCATCAAGCATCCTATGTAACAAGGGAATTTTTCTATTGCAATTATTGTTTATCAATCAATTTGACAACAGCATCCATTAATTGCAAATCAAGGAGCTGAAATAATAACAAGGAATCCATGTTTGGAACTGAATGCTGGCTCTTTAGGTTTACGTATTTATTGTAACATTGCTCAAGTACAAATGCTTAAGAATGAAAAACTGTGGCAATTGTTTCCCTTTGTTTATCAACCATCTGGGAGTTTGGATTTGTAACTAAACTCCTGAGAATAATGGAAAAATATAAGTAAAACTGGGGAAAAGAAAGCCAAAGCGGTAAACTTTAATTCCTCAGCCGATGCATCCCATCAATTTTCCCCCATTGTGCTAATCTTACAGAAATTGATTACTTTCTGTATGACACTGAGTCTCTGTGCTGGCAAAACATATGAAATTTCTGAAAGCTCCCCAGGGAGAAAAAAAGATTGTTTTACTTTTTATTAGTTTAACATATATCCTAAATGAATCACATTTTCTGTAAAATATAATTTTCTGCTGCTGTTTCCTTCTAGGTATGACGTTGATTCAAAAAGTCCAGATTTATCGAAACATGTAAGTACTATGATCCTTTCCATCTTTACACGGTGTTCTATTATTTGATTTCAATTTTAACTAAGTACTAGGTGACTTACTCTGATCCTTTCAACTGCAGAGAATAGAAAATGTCTTGTTAATGTATATTGCAAAAAGATGCTTTAATTATGAGGAAAAGTCATATAAATTAGATTGAATTTCCTTGAATATAAGAGCCTGAATGTTTCAATGGAGAAGATGAAAAAAAATTATTCTCCTCATTCAGTGAGTCCAGAACAAGGGGGTATGATCTTATTATGAGACCTAGACCATACAGGAATGAAATCTTATAAACAACAAAGAGTATGTGAAAACCTCAAACCAAGAAGACTGCAAATACTGATTCATTTCAAATTTGCACAACTGAAATACAGAACTTTTAATTTGCTAAGAATATCAATAGATTATGCAAGTAATTGGAGTTGAGCACATAGATTATAGGATTGTAGAATCCTTAGAGTGGGGAAAGAGGCCATTTGGTCCATTGGGTCTGCACTGACCCTCCAAAGAGAATCCCACCCAGACCAAGGCCCCACCGTGTCCATGTAGCCCTGCAATTACCATAGCTAACCTACCCAGCCTGCACATTCCTGGATACTATGGGGCAATTTCGCATGGTGAATCCACCTAACCTGCACATCTTTGGACTGGACATCAGCCAAATTCTAAATGAATGCCTGAAGAGTTATGAGCATTGAATAGCTGACTCACATTCCCAGATGAAGCAAAAAACTCAACAGCTGAATATTTCACAACAAAATATTGTGGGTGCTGGAAATCTGAAACAAACTCAGAATTCTAGAGAAACTCAGCAGGTCTGGCAGTATCTGTGGAGAGAGCAACAGTTATTGTTTCCAGTCCTGTATGACTGTTCAGAACCGAGTTTCTTCAGCGTTCTCTATGTTTGTTTCAGCTGAATATCTATCTGGATAACTGTCAGAATATATACCAGTGCAGAACATGAACAGGCCCTTCAGCCTACCATATCTGTGCTGACCAATATGCCATTCTAAACTAATTTCTATCTAATCTGCACGTGGTCTGTATCTCTCTATTCTGTTACTGCTCATGTATCTGTCTAAATGGCTCTTAAAAGTTGCTGACATATCTGCTTCTATCACCTCCTCTGGCAATGTGTTTCATGCACCTACCACTCTATTAAAAAAAAACTACTTCGCACGTGTCCTTCAAACTTTCTCCCTCTCTCCTTAAACCTATGCTCCTTACTATTTGACATTTCCATCCTGAGAGAAAGTTCTTGACTTTCCACCTTGCCAATACCCCTCATAATTTTACACACTTCTGTCAAGTTGTCCCTCTGCTTCCAGCAGTCTAGCAAAACAGTCAAAGTTTGTCCAACCACTTCTTGTAACTAATAGACTCCAATCTATGCAAAATCCCAGCAAACCTCTTTTGTACCCTTTCAAAAGCCTCCACATCCTTCTTATAGAGTGGAGACCAGAACTGCATACAATACTCCAAATGTGGCCTAACTAAAGTTTTGTATGGCTGCAACATGACTTGCCAACTTTTATACTCAGTGCCCCAAGCGAAGAAGGCAAGCATGCCGTATGCTTTCTTCACCACCTTATCCACTGGTGTTGCCACTTTCAGGGAACTATGGATCCTTCTGAATATCAATACTCCAAAGGACCTTGCCATTTATTGTATAATTTCCTCTTGCATTTGGCCTCCTAAAAAAACCCTGCCTCTCACTTGTCTGGATTAAATTCCATCTGCCATTTCTATGCCTAATTTTCCAACTGATTTATATCCTGCTGTATCCTTTGATAACCTTCCTCCTTACCCACAATGACACCAATTTTCATGTTGTCTGCAAACTTACTCATCAGACCACCTACATCTTCATCCCATTGATTTATTTATATTGCAAACAGAGGAACCAGCACTCATCCTTGTGGAACACCACTGGTCACAGCCCTCCTGTCAGAAAAACATCCTTCCTCAAATACCCTCTATCTTCTAATGACCAAGTCAGGTTTGCATCCAGCTTATCAACTTACCGAAGATCCTATGTGCTTAATCTTCTGGACCAGCCTACCAGGACGGATCTTTTCAAATGCTTTAGTAAAGTCTATGTAGACAACATCCACTGCCCTACCATCATCAATCATCTTCGTTACTTCCTCAAAAATCTTAATCAAATTTGAGAGATCAGACTTGCTCCGCACAAAGCGGTCTATCCCTAATAAGACCATTTTTTTCCAAATGTGAGTAATCCTGTCCCCAAAAGTCTTGTCTAATAATTTCCCTACCACTAATGTAAGTGTCGCTGGCCTATAATTTCCTACGTTATTTTTATTGCCCTTCTTAAATAAAAGAACAACATTGGTTATTCTCTACTCTTCTGGGATCTTGCCTGTAGCTAAAGAGGAGACAAAGATCTCTGTTGAAGTCCAGCAATATCCACCCTTGCTTCCCTCAGTATCCTGGGATCGATCCCATCAGGCCCTGAGAACTTATTGACCTTAATGTTTTCAAGACGCCCAACACCAACTCCTTCTTAATATTGACATACCCTTCGATAATCTTAACATCATCCAAGTCCTTCTCCTCAGTGAATACAGATGCGAAATACTCGTTATGGACCTCACCTACTTACTGTAGCTCCATGCATAAATTCTCTCTTTTGTCTTCGGGTAGACCTACCCTTTCCCTAGCTACCCTCCTGTTTCTAATACACAGATAAAATGCCTTGGGTTTCCACATAATCTTACTTGCAAAGGATATTTCATGGCTTCTTTTAGCCCTCCCAATTCTGTTTAAGTTCTCTCCTGCTCGTTTTATATTCTACAAGGGCCTTGTCTGATTTCAGTTTCTTAAACCTTGCATATACTTCCTTTTTCCTTTTGACTAAACTTTCAATATCTCTCGTCATCCAGAGTTCCAGAATCTTGCCATCCTTATCTTTCATCCTCACAGCAACACGGTCATCCTGATCTCTGATCAACTGGCTTTTAAAAGACTTCTACGTGTCAGATATGGATTTACCCTCAAACAGCTTTCCCCAATGTAATTTCCCCAGTTCCTGCCTAATAATGTTGTAATAAGCTTCCCCTAATTTAGTATTTCCATCTGAGGACCAGTCTTATCCTTATCTGTAATTATCTTAACATCTACAGAATTATGGTCACTGTTTCCAAAATATGCTCCTCCACTAAAACGTTGCCTTGCTTTACTCTTCTCCTTAATCATCTTTGTGTTCAATTGATTTTTGATTTTCACTTGAAATTTAAACGAAAACATATTGTTACTTTCAGGAGATGGACAGTTGTTGTTTACATATTTCATTGATTGTACTGAGTTAATTATTGTGATCTTTAACTTGAGTTTAAAGACACGCTAGCTTCCAATAAACATATCCAAATATTGGTGAGGAATTGACTTGAAGGAGTTAATATTCTTCTCCTCCTACATTTCTACATGGCAGTTTACATTTGATTTTAGCATTTATTTTCCTTTCTCAAGGATCTCTAGGAAACCCCTGAACAAAGTAATGGAGACAATGATCAGTCATAATGGGTCTGTAAATGTTTCCTATGCCTTTGCATGTGGATTCTAATATTTTCCAGCTTCCCAGAAGGGAACATTAGTGCAAAATGTATAACCAAGAACCAGTGCACACTGTTGAAGGCAAAGGTTGGAAACCGTTTTTTTTTCAGTTTTTCTATTTCTAAATGGTAGATCTATCAAAACAAAAATGTTAATTTCCCAGTTTGGAATATTGAGAAAGGAGCATTCATACAAAGTAAACTGTCATGGATATTTACTGTGCCAGGGAATTAAAGACTTTAATTTTATGAACTGGCTGATGATTACAATTAGTGTTTTAATGGCTTTTATCTTACCAATGCATTCTAATTGATGCAATCAGTACAACATAATGGCCCAGATCTTCCAGTGTTCAGGTAGTTGGAAACCAGACATATTACAAGAGATATGGCTTCGGGACCTCTGGAAGCCTGGATGCTCGAACTCAGAGGGAATTGCGCATAAATTCTGAAATTCTGACAAAAAATCCCCTTCTGCCTGGGACCATCTGAAAGCTTCTCTTTGAGTTACAATTTCCAGACAGTTCTGACTTGTTGAGTAGCTACCTGGAAGATGTTAAGTAGAAAATTCTTCCTGAAATAGTTGAGTACCTACACAGTTTAACTCCTTCTCCCCACACCTCCCCCCAACACACCACTCCACCTGACTCTCTCTTTTGCCCTTGCCACCCCCATAACCGAACCAAATGTGCAGCTCTAGTTTGCAGAAAGTAGAAGCAGAAAAGCAATCTGACCATGATTGCTGTTTCTGGAAAGCTTTGGACCATTATTATGGACTTAATACAATTGCCAGTAAGTTGGAAGTTGAAATAAGATTAAAGACTTTGTTGAAATAATGGTGCTTATCAAGAAGTTTCTCCCCTATATACATTAATAAAATATTCAGGTCATTTAGTTATTTGTCATCCTTAGAACAATGTATCCTGGCGGTGATGATTGCATTTGATGAGCCATTGCGGGCAAGTAAAATATATAACTAACTATAATGTACTTTGCTATTTTGTAGGATTTTCTGGGACAGACATTCTGCACTCTGGGAGAAATTGTGGGCTCATCAGGAAGCCGATTAGAGAAACCACTAATGTAAGTTGAAAATTAATTCTACCTAATACTCAAAATTATTTGTATAAAATATTGCCTTTGCTGATATGAAGTTGAGAGGACCTGTTCCAAGTCTGAAAAATTCAGGTACAGTCGAAATGGCAAAGAGACAGGAACAAAGATATTTCATGGAATGGAATCAAACACCACAAGTTTAAAATTAGTGACAGAAGTGAACTGGTTGACAGCACAGAGGTAGACAATGTCTTTTTGGTACAAAAACAAAGTAGCTGGAAAAGCTCAGCAGGTCTGGCAGCATCTGTGAAGGAGAAAACAGAGTTAACGTTTTGGGTCTGGTGACCCTTCCTCAGAACCCGAACCCAGACCCGAACGGTTAACTCTGTTTTCTCCTTCACAGCTGCTGCCAGACCCACTGAGACTTTCCAGTGACTTTGTTTTTGTTCCTGATTTACAGCATCCGCAGTTCTTTCAGTTTTAATGTCATTTTGGTGTGCTGTCTGTAAGGATGTTTAATGAAATGGGATTGAACAGTTCAGTTTCAGTTTCTAGTCAAGGGGAAGTCACAGGGCATGATTGGTGTCACACTTGGAATCTGGTTAGAAGTTTTGTTTAGAAGGCATAAGGTAATGAATGCATGTGCTTATGTGTGTGTGTGCATTTTTAAATTTAAAATACCGTAGCTGTAACAATAAAGCTAGCTAGGCTTGACAAGAATATAGTAAAGAATTAAGCATAGTCAACCTTCCATTTACGTGACACACTTTTCATGACCACTGAATATTCCAAAGTGCTTTACAGCGAAGAAATAATATTGAAATGCAGTCACTTGTTTTTAAACAAAAAAAAATCACAGCAGCTAATTTGTGTGGAGCAAAGTTCCACAAACAGCAATGTCATATGTCCTGATACTTTGGCTTTGTGATGTTGATTGATCGGAGCAACTCTACTGCTCTCCTTCAAAATAGTGGCACAGAGTCTTTCTCACTCACCTGCAGGAATAGACTGGATCTTGATTTAATGCCACATTGCATCTGAGACAGTGTTGTATGCTGTCAGGATAAGAGCAAACCTATTGCTATCCAGCTCTTGAAAAGAGAAAGCTCAGAGAAAGTAGCATTTGAAATTCTTAAGGGGATAAACCCATACCTCAGGGCTACATTTGTGATTATCACAAATGTGGAATCCAGAGAACACAGGGTCAAAGTTAGGAGGCTAAATATAGGCTTTAGGTTTAGATTTCATTGCTTTATGCAAAGGATGAGTAGGTAACCTGAGGATCTTAGTGTGTAAAACAAAAAGGAACAGTGAAAGTTTGAACTCATGTCAGTGTTAATAGTTTTAGCTTTGGGACTGACCAAATATTGGGTCTTGTTGGGTTCTGTACATTCATATTAGGAAATAAAAATGATTAGATTCAAACAATATAGGTTGAAATTTAAATTAAGTCTTTTAAAAAAAAATTATGTGAAAATGCCATCAACCACTCTCTACTATCATCGCCATATTATCTTTAGCTTTTTTAATTCCAAATTCCTGTCCCTGTTTCTGTCACCATTTCTTCCCGAAAATCAACTCTTTTTGGCAAGTTCAAATAGATTCCACTCTCTGGGCTGTTTCAGGGTGATATTGCTTGTGGCTTATTTATGCATCCTGATCTTTATACCTGCTTTTGAAGGCTATCAAATTTTGATCCATCACAAAGGAACATGAGTTGGATCTGCCATTCAGTAAGGATGTGATTGATCTGGCTATGGTCTGAACTCCACTTTCCTGTTTGTGGCCCCTAATCTTTAAAAAATCTATCGAACTCAGCCTTAATCAAGATTAAAGACCCGACCTCCTCTGTTTTCTGGAGAAAAAAGGTTCCAATGTGTATCTTATAAGAAATACCTCTTATTCTTACTCTAGTCCTTTCCACAAGGAGAACATCCCCTCAGGATTGTGTCTGTTTCAATAAGGTTGCCTCTGATTCTTCTAAATTTCAATGCGTAAATGCCCAAACTGTTCAACTTTTCTTCATTATAAACCCTTCATCCCACGAAACAGTTGATTGGACCTTCTCTGAACTGATTCTGCCACAATTATGTGCCTTTTCAAATAAGGAGACAAAATTGTACTCTCTAGCCTGATATACTCTCACCAAGGTCCTGTAGAGCTGAAGTAAGATTTCCCTAATTTTTGTGAATCACGTAACAGGACAGTCAGATCATTCCATATCGTAGGGTTAGGCAATCTCTCTCTATTTCAATAGTAGTCCACTTTCCTATTCTCCTTCAAAGTGAACAATTTCACATTTCACCCCCCCCCATTATATTCTATTTGCCAAATATTTGCCTACTCACTTAACCTATTTTTGTCGCATTTAGACTCTCTACTTCCACTTAACATACTTTCTTACCTGTGGTGTCATCAGTGAATTTAGCTACTGTACATTTGGTTCCCAATTTCTTGTCATTGATATTGATTGTAATGGTTTTACTGGCTGTAGCATTGACGTGCCAAAGTTGCATTGCATTCTGGAAGGATTGCTGCCTTATTGGATCATCTGGTTGAAGCGAATCTATGACTTTTTTTCTCGTGGGTGACTCGTAGCAGTGTCCAGAAACTTAAACCCTTGGAGACTCCAGGGCACCCAAGAAGGTTGGCAGCTCCATGCTGACGACAGATACTTTGCAGAAAAGGAGCTGGTGGCTCCAATATCACACAAAACCCAGTGTACAGGCAACTTAAAACTGGAGAGAGGAATCCAGCATCATTCAAGGCTTTAGGAAATTCAAGGTGCTTCATTGCTGACAAAGTATTGGCAAAATGCATTCACTATTACTCTGTAGGAATATGTGAAAGCCTATTTGTGAATATCAAGATCCCTCAATTAGTAAAATGAATGATCTGTTGATCAGCTTTACCATGTTTGTTATAAATTGAAGATTTTAGCCAGGAATTCATTATATAAGAAGCTTGCAAATAACATAAAGGCAAATCCAAAATTCTTCTACTAACATATAAATAGTAAGAGAAGGGATAGGATTGATCATAGTCTCAAAAGGGGATCTATGCTTGGAGACCTCATGCATGGCTGTGTTATTAAATGTGTACTTTGCATCTGCTTCAACCAAGAACCAAAATGCTACAAAATCCATAGTGAGAGTGCGACAAGTTGAGATACTGAATGGGCTAAAGTTTGATCAAGAGAAGATGTACTAATCTTGGCAGTCTCCTGTTTTTGTTGTATATTGTGCGGTCACAGTTATAACTGTTGTGCCCTTGATGGCTCCCATTTGTTGTCAGCAAAACAGCTGAGGATGGATAAAATCCCACTGTCAACATTTCAGTGCTGTCAACTTTGCAAAATAGACAAATAAAGATTAGGAGTCAAGTTGAGTTTCGATGAAAGTTAAATCTCTATGATTTGTATATGTCTGTGTACTGTCTGTATTTTAACTCCTTTCAATAGCCTGACAGCCTATTCTGTGAAAGTTAATGATGTGGCTTCACATGAATGTGAGAGTGCTGGTAATGGATTCTAATAGTTATGAAAAGAAAATGACAAGAATTTGACATGTCAATCACACAATACATTCACTTCTGCAAGCTTTTCCTCAATATTTCTAGGCTCCCCAGGACCATACATATCTTCCAGACAGGAGCAAAAGCAGCTGAAACATTCCCAGGTGTGTTCCTGCTTGCTTATCCAGTTTTTCCCACTTTTTAATCCATCAAATGCCCTTACCATGGTGAAGGACTTGGTATTGATCCAGCATTTGTACCTTACATTGTGGCTGAGAGTAGAAACCCAGTTAAGTGGATGCCTATTATAGTATTGGTTTAGCAGAGGAGCAAGTGCATCTAATAAAGCTTGAAGGGCAACTCCTGAAACTTTGTAACAAAAGCCTTCCCATTCCTTCTTTGCTGGTGACGAACAGATGATGAAGAGTAGCTGAACTCGAAACATTAACTCTGCTTTCTTCTCACAGATACTGCCTCACCTGCTGAGTTTCTCTAGTAATTTCTGTTTTTGTTTCAGATCTCCAGCATCCACAGTTGTTTGTTTTATTATTGGACCATTGACAGGTTAGGAACCTGTTGAACTTTCTAGCATGCAATGCTGGGGTTCTTTAACTGAGCCAAGGTGTAAGCATCCTACCTTGGAGTTCCCTTACCAGTCAGGAGGGTGGCGAGCTTGTTTCTGTCAAAGGAAGGATTGCTCATGAAGGGGATCACAACCTGAGCAGGAAGGGCTCCTCTTGCACATAGATGTGTGACGCTGCAACAGAGACTCAGGGCTGGGTTAGGGCAAACCTCCAGTGTCAGGCATTTTAATGCTAACTGAGAATTCCTGCCCACCTGACCCACTTAAGAAGTAGATCTAATTCCAGCAGGCTGTATGTCGTCAGTAACCCATGTGTTCGCATGTGACAGGAGGGCTGATCCTTTACTTGTGGACCCTGTGGTGAGGTCTTGCATCCTTTGGATTGGATTGGTGTGTCCATTCCCTTTGCCCAGTGGAACAGCATGTGGCTGAGGAAAAGGCACAGGTGCCATAGTTCCTGCTATTGGTGCTGACATTACTGCTTCTGTTGCTGTTTTAGAGGTGCAGGGTAAAACTGTGTAAACTGCTTCTGTACTACAGTGAAAGCTTTTAGGAGGGAAGTGTAGTTGGGGAAGTTGTCAGCTGAGTAAAGTATAAGACAAATGATGTGATTACCAAGAAATTGGCAGTATCCTACAAAGGAATTAAAGCACTGGAAGAGGGAGTGCTGTTGCTAGCAGCTTCTCACCTGGCAGGAGCTTCAGCTTAACAATTTCACTGATCACTGGCTAACTTATCAATTTTACTTCAATAACTCTCCCTGCTGTGCACTCACTTCCATGACCCTGGTGACTTATCATGTTCAAATGCCTTGCCTTGCTGGCTTGCACATCCACCCAGGTGAAAGCTCGTAAAGTTGTGGGATGATGGCTGTATCCAAACTCAGCATCACTTTTAGGAGATTTAACATTCCATTCACAGCAAAATCTTC